GCCGTAGAAGCCCGCCGCCAAGTGGCGCGCACCGGAGGGGTGAGGTCGAAGCCGGTGTCTGCCATCCCCAGCGGCTCCAGCACGTTCTCGGAGACCCAGCGCTGGTAGTCACCCTGGGCCGTGTGGGCTGCCAGGACGTGCGCCAGAAGCGAGAAGGCCAGCGTGCTGTAATGGCACCTGGAACGGGAGGTGTAGAAACTGGGGTGCGGCCCGTGGTGGACATTTCCAGGCCCGAAGTAGCCCCTTCCGACCTGCTCAGAATGTCTGAAGTGCCACCAGAGTTTCCTAGGACTGGGTCGGTCCGGGAAGGCACCTGCTTCACTGCATCCCAGAGGGTCAGACCCATCAGGGACTTCAGCGATCACTAATTCTACATCTGGGAAGAGGAGGGCCCAGAGAGGGGCAGGGACTTGTCCAGGGTCACACAGCAGGAAGGAGGAGAGCTGGGCTGGGCAAGTGGTAAAGCACATCTTACTGGTTCTTTACCCTTTAGTATGATTTACTTAAGCAAACAGAAAACTAGAGTCTTAGACTGTTGGGGGTGGAATTATAGCGATCATGTGGTTCCAGGATGATAAATGGGGGGCAGGATTTCCGCTCCCTTCTCCCCAGCTATGGCAGACACCAGTAGTCAGTGAGAGGTTTCTCTTCTTTCCCAGAGGAGGTGCAATTTCAAAAAGGCACAGACAGATGAAAACCCACAAATCCCTTTAGACATTCCTGAACTCTAGCCCAACCTCCCTTAATTTTTTAGGTTTTTTTTTTATATTAATTTGAGAGAGAAGAAGGGAGAGAGTGAGGAAAAGAGAAACATCAATGTGAGTGAGAAACATCGATCGGTTGCCTTCCAGATGCATCCTGACGGGGACTGAACAACCTGGGTGTGTGCCCTGACCGGGGATCGAACCGGCCACCTGTTGGTGTACAGGACAACCTCCAAGTGAGCTACACGGGCTGGGGCCTGACTTCCCTTTTCTGCAGATGCGGAAGGTGGGTTCCAAGAGGCGAAGTGCCTCCTCCGAGGCCTCGTGGCAAGTTAGTGGCTCAGCTGAAAGGAGGACTCCAGCCTGCAGATGTCTGAGCGTCTCCTGGGTCCTTTCTCCTCAGGGAGGTGGGGCCTGAGTTCAGCATTCGGAGAAGCAGACAGGGCATCTTTTTCCAAAAAAGGCCAACAGGCCCGGAGGGTGCCTCTGAAGCCGGGGAGTACCAGCTGTCGTCCGTCCAGCCCCTCGCTCCCAGAGCTGAGCTTCTCTGTTCAGTGGCCACCCCAGCTATCCACTCCCATCAGCATCCCATTTATTTCCATGACGGCACTTGACAAAACCTCTATCTTGTTTATCTCTTCACTGATAAGAATGCTCACGGCTGACTGACAAGAATGCAAACTCCATGAGGACGGACCTGGTTACCAGTAAATTTGTTTGCTTCTGTATCTCAGTTTAGCACATTCCGGGCACAGAGTAGGTGCTCAATAAATGTTGAGTTGATGAGTGGAAAGAACTCAAGGTTCAAACAGCACCTGCCTTGCTGTGGCACCCCTCTCTGGGCCTCAGTCTTTCCTGCGTGGAATCAGGGTTGTATTTAGGGACTCCAAGGTCTCTTCAGGCTCTGCACACCCAGGACAAGAGGATGCGTCTCTCTCCAGGAGGAGGAGGGCGGGGGTTAGTCCTGAGGAGGTTCCTAACTTTGGCAGAGCATCAAGGTGCATCCTCACCTGGTTCCTGGGTCCGCCACCAGCACATCATCCTTGAGCAGGCTCAGGGCCTCCTGGGTGCTGCCCTTCCATAGCAGCGAAGTGGATCGCAGCCTTCGGGGCAGCCCTGGGGAGGAGCAGTGGTCAGACCTGCTGGGCTAGCTGAGGGTGGATGGGGGTCATTGGGTGCACTGCCCTCCTCCCCACCTTCCATGGGTTGAAAAATAGCAACAACAAAATTGCCTGAAAAACAAAAATAGTCCAGCATGGACTCTAATCCTGCTTGTGTTTTAGTGGGAAAGCCACTTAACCTCTCAAGCCCCAGCCCCCTCACCTGTAATGTGAGGGAAATAATTCCTCTATCATAGGGATGGTGTGAGGATTAGGTAAAATAAAATGCTTAGCATGGTGCCTGGTCATAGTAACTGCTCAAAAAGTAATTATCATCAACTATAGCAGTTTGATTCCATAAAATTCTTGAGATCAGTGGCCAAACAGCTTTGGACTTTTCTAACGATTTGGACTTTTCTGTTTATTAGCTGTGACAACTATTAGAAGAACCACAGGTTTTGAGTTCTCTTTATCCATCCATTCAATAATGGATTTCCAGCTTCTGTTTTGTGCCAACAACTGTTCTGGGTACTGGGGATTCAGTAACGAACAAAGTCCCTGCCTTGTGGAGTTAATGGAGGAGCCAGACAACAAGCAAATACATACTCATGCTACAGAGAAAAATGATTCGGTTGGACGAAGGCCTTGCAGAGGTGATCCTGGAGCAGGTGAGACCTGGAGAAGGTGAGAGAGAGAGAGAGCCATTCTTTTCTGTAAGAATGTCTCGGGCAGAGGGAACGGCAAGTGCAAAGGCCCTGTGGCAGGAATGTCTTGAAATGTTTGAGGAATAACATGGCACAGCCAGTGTGGCTGGAGAGGAGTGAGAATGGGGAGACTTTGGCCAGTTCAGGAAACACCAGAGAGTGGGCTTGGCCTGACTGGATGAGAATCCGCTCCTCAGTTCCCCCCACCTGAGTTATTTGGGGCTAAGCCAGGTAAGTTCAAAGCCATTCACCTGAGAGCTATCCTTCAGAAGGTGATGGGCGAAGGCCTTGGGGCTGGGCCCACCTCCTCCAGCCCATCCATCAGGCTCTGCTGTTTGGGGGCTGGTGCCATGCCCAGCGGGTTGTTAATAGTGAAGGAGCTGGCATACCGTCCAAAGGGTCATCTAGAGAGGCTACGATACCCTCCTCCCACAGGCGGTACAGCATGAGGACTGGAAAGATCTTGGAGACACTGGAGATCCTAGACAATGTTGGGGACACCAAGGTGCAGAAAGCATACTGTTGGCTCCACAACCCATCTCCACCCTGCACCCCAGCCTCCAACTTTCTGGTATTCTAGGAAAGCACTGAATCCGCTTTATTTAATGTCTCAGACGGAAATCTGCCAGCCTCTGTAGAACTGGCTTTGGGATGCTTGAGAATATACCAGAGGCCGTGGGGCTGGGCTGGGCTGGATGGACGGACATTCCTGAGTATCTTCCCCCAGGCCCTTCCCACTGTGGACAGACCTGGTTGGGTCATGCCTCTGCCTCTCTCTGGCTGAGTGGTCTTGGGCGAGTACTAGACTTTCTGAGATTCGGCTTCCTTGTCCGTTTCACAGGTTGTAGAGAGGATGGAACAAGAACATGCTGGTAAAGTGTTTGGCAGGATACCCAGCAGGTAGTAAGTGCTCAATAAGTGACAAAAAGTGTAATTGTTGTCCCATACTTGCCCATAGCAGGTGCAGTGTGAATGGAACTCCAATCCTCACAGTGTCTCTGGGAGCAGATGTGTTCACTTTGCATTGTAAGCTTGAAGGGTCCTGCAGGGAGCGCCATGGAGGGGATATGTTCAGCAGAATGTCCCCAGGGACTCCCATCTGGGCCACTGCTGCCGATTGACAGGGACCTGGGCCAAGAACCCAGGACCTGGTTATGGTTCCGTTGTGGCATGTGGACGTGAGGGAGGGATGGGACACAAGGGAGCCTCTTGGAGTTAGGGAGTTTGGGGCTAAGGCAGTGGTTCTCAACCTTCCTAATGCCGCAACCCTTTAATACAGTTCTTCATGTTGTGGTGACCCCCAACCATAAAATTATTGTCGTTGCTACCTCATAACTGTAATGTTGCTACTGTTATGAATCATCATGTAAATATCTGATATGCAGGATGTATTTAGGCGACCCCTGTGAAAGGGTCGTTTGACCGCCAAAGGGGTCGCGACCCACAGGTTGAGAACCGCTGGGCTAAGGGCTCTCCAGAAGTGATCCCTTCCTGACCTGTTACCTCTGTGGTGTGAAGTTGGGCACTCACTGGTCCTCTCTGGACCTCAGCCTCCTCATCTATAAAACTGTCAAGACTTAATAAAGGGCTTGGAAACCCCAGGCATGAGTCTCTTGAGTTCCCCTACCTCCTAGGTCCCCCCGTTCTCCCATCCCTCATCCCTCCACAGAACCCTGCAGGTCACCCGGCTGACCGGTACATGGTGTACTCATTGGGGGGGCCAGAAGCTGGGTCCGAGCCATTCTTCTTCCCAAAGTTCCCAGTCCAGAGCACGGTGTCATTGTGGATGACAACTGCAGACATGGCCGCCAGCCCTGGGACAGACAGTGCCTGGCGCAGGATCCTCTCCACCTTGCAGAAGAGCAGGAGGCTCAGAATGTGGGTGCAGAGACACACCCCACTTGTCATCTGCGCACCCTGCCCATGCCCACCCCACACCCTGCACACAGGTCGCCTTTCCTGGCTCCCCTTCACTCTCTGCTCCCTCCCCTCCCCCCCGCCCCAGTTGCTAGAAGGGAGCCCAGTGAGCCTCCAGACTTTGGGCTCTCATACCATGGGCCCCCACTCTGGTTGCAATCAGAGCAGCTCCCTTAGTATCTGTTTTGTATGTGGGGGTTCCTCATGAGATTTTTGTGATAAGAAACATTTCTTTGGCAAAATGTAAAAGGAGGGAGGGTACAAAACTATTGATCTAGTCAAACCCTTGTCTTATGCCAGTGCCTCTCAGGGTCTCAGTGTTCCAGAGACAGGATGGCTTCCTGGGCTCTGAGCCGCAGGCTTCACCCAGGCTCCCCAGGGGCTGGCACACGTGGTGACCGATTTCCCCAGCACTAAGCCCTCTGTGCCCTCCGCCATGGGGATTAGTTCCTGGGGTCCCACCCTCAGCAGCCAGTGGGGAGGGGGGAACATCTGTCAGGGAGGCTGGCAGCACCACGTGACCCACGATGCTCCGGGCTAGCCAGCAAAGAAACAGTCTCCCCAGAAAGTCTTTGTCAAATCCAATATAAAAGAGATGATGGCGGGCTGCCAGGACACAGCCCACCCACTGGCCTCCCAGCCGCAGCCACCACCCCCCATCCACCACCCCTACCACCCCCACCCCGCACCAGCTCCTCCGCTGCCTCTGAGTAACTGGGTCTCGAAGGAACACAGTTTGAAGACCACTGGGGTCTGCCTAGTAGTTTTGTTTCATTTATGTTTTTATTAATTGATTTTGAGAGAGAGAGCGAGAAAGAGGGGGGAAGGGAGAATTTGTTTCATTTATGTTTTTATTAATTGATTTTTAAAGAGAGAGAGCGAGGCGGAGGGGGGGAACACTGCTTGTTGTTCCACTGATTTATGCATTCATTGTGTGCTCTTTGTATGTGCCCTAAGCAGGGATCAAACTCAAAACCTTGGCGTATCAAGACAACACTCTAACCGACCGAGCGACCCGGCCTGGGCAAGCCTAGTTGTTAAACATTCAAATGACTCGGTTCAAATCCCAATTCTGTCCCTGCCTGTGTGGCCTTGGGTAAGTCATGCCTTCTTTGTTTCTTCATCTATAAAATGGAAATAAGCCCTAGGCAGTTTTCCTCAGCGCAACCTGAAGGGTCACAGGTTCAATTCTGGTCAAGGGAGCTTGCGGGAATTTAAAAATAAATGGGCCTTCAAAATGAGAGGCAACGAGCATTTACTGAGATCAATAAGAATAGCTATTAGGGATGAATTGATTCAGGCAGAAGCCCAAATAGCATTTCGATTAGGAGACAAAGGCAGTGGGTATTTATGAGAAAGGGAAGGGGGAATTGCATCAATAGAACGAAGACATTTCTGTTGGTGCAGATAATAGAACACGGTGAAAAGGGCAAAGGCAGTGGGTATTTATGAGAAAAGGGAAGGGGTAGAACGAAGACATTTCTGTTGGCACAGATAATAGAACACGGCGATGTTAATTCTAAACAATGTTTTTAATTTCCGGGCCACTGATCATCTAGTCGTCATAACTGCCGTCTTACCATCATTGCAAATGTCCTTCTGCAAGGCCCAAGGTCGCTTAGGTCCCACCCCAAGGTTACTGTGCCCTGTTTTTAACATTCCAAGGTCTGAGGTGTAAGGCAGTTCCTCTGCGATGGCAGCTCTGGCATTTTAAAGTGGCTCCATTTGTGATACTGTTTACACTGGAGAGCTTTTACAGACCTCCGCGGCCTGGTCCCAACTCCAGAGGCCCCCTGGAGTGCCACCTGGGCTTCACAATTTTTGAAGACCCCTTGGTAATTCTACTGTGCGGTCAAGGTTGAGAGCCACTGCCGCAGACCAGTGTGTGTCCAGCTCATTTTCAATGTGTGTAGGAATCGCCTAGGGACTGAGTTCAACTGCAGGTTCTGAGTCAGTGGGTCAGATGGTACAGGAGAGTCTACATTTCTCACAGCAACCCAAGTGATGTCGATACTGGTTCGTGGACTACCCTGTGAGGAGCACGGCTCTGCAGTTCATGGGTTGCACCAGCTCCCACATCATCATTGTAGTTGCCTCCCAGGCACCTTGTGGTTGGATGGGGCTTGCATTCTTATCTCTGTTTTGCTGATGCTCAGGGTGTGTATGTGAATGGGTAGAAGCAAGCTTTCTGGATCTTCTTCTTCCTTAACCCCCTGTGCCTGGCCAGGAAAGAGGATGGATCAGTTAGAGTGAGAAGAGAGCTGAGTGGTTTTACCCAAACTCCGCCTTGTATGGCTGCTCTGAGAGGGGAGGTGACAGCGAGGGAACTGGGATCCAGGTTTTTTCCATTGCACCTGGCTGCTTGGCTCCTCTTTCCTGAGGCTCAGAGCAGCTTGGGCAGCCTGCCTCTGGGCCACATACTGAGTGGTGACAATGTCCCAACAATCCCCAGGAGCAGGTCTACTCTGTGCCCATTTCACATCTGAGGAAACTGATGCTCTGAGAAGTGAGGTCCCAGGAAGTGGCAGGACTGGGATTTGGACCCAGGAGTCCTCGCTGATTCTGGGACACAAATGCATCTCCCATGATGTCTCCCCATTGGACGAGAAGGTCCTCTAGGGCAGTGATCGCCAACTGGTGGTCTGCGGACCAGTGGTGGTCCGTGAGGTCTGAAAGGTTGGCAACCGCTGCTCTATAGCAAGGACTGCTTCTCGTTTTGGTTTGTGTCACCAAACTAGGGCTGAATGTCTGGACCCGTCAATCCCCTTCAGGGTTCTGCACCTCTTCAGATCAAACCTCACCCCCAGGACACCGCTCCTCTGTGGGAGCTTGCCCTTTGCCCCTGGCCCCAGCCCCAATGAAACCATTTCTCACTGCCCAGACCTGATTTTAGCTAAAATCCATAGCATGTCATATAGGAAAGTGGCCACACGGTGGCAGTAGATACCCATGTGTAGCTACTGGAGCCACCTCCTCTGAAGAATTTATTCCTTGAGTGCTCTTCCTGCAGGCATTTGTCCAAGGACTTTTTCCCTCCATGAACCAGGATAATCTCCACAACTGCCACTCAGGAGAGGAAGGAGTTACTCATCTTCCCTAGAGCTGAGAGGTCACATGAGTCCTTTGCTTAAAGAACCTTCAGTGGCTGCTTTCTGCTCTTTGGAAAAATCATAATCCTTATCTGCTACACTGATGGTTACACAGACTGTTAGAAGGTTCCCAAGTTCAAGTGGACTAGACTTCAGAGACTAAACCTCAACGGGTGGACCCTTGAGTCAGACTGCCAGAGTTCAGATCCCAGCTCCACCAATTATTACTTACTTGAGGCCCTATGCACAGATTCGTGCACCGGAGGGTCCCTCAGCCTGGCCTGTGCCCTCTCGCAATCCGGGACCCCTCGGGGGATGCTGGACTGCTGGTTTTGGCCCAATCCCTGCAGGCTGGCTCATCCCGGTCCCGCTGCACCTGCCGCTACCACCGCTCAGTAGCACTGCCTCAGAGGCGGGAGAGGCTCACGCCGCCAAAGCTGCGCTCGCTCACCAGCTGCGAGCCAGGTGTCTGGTGCCTGCCGGTCAGCTGAGTGGCACTCCTGCTGTGGGAGCACACTGACCACCAGGGGCAGCTCCTGTGTTGAGTGTAGCCCCTGGCGGTCAGTGTATGTCATAGAGACCGGTTGTTCAGTCGGGTTGTTTGATCACTTAGGCATTTTTTTTTTTCGTATATATATATATTTATATACTTTTATAAATATATTAAGGGAGAGAGAGAAAGAGAGAAGAGAGAGAGAGAGAGAGAGAGAGAGAGAGAGAGAGAGAGAGAGAGATGTGACTTGGGTCGGATTTCTTGGCGTCACTTGGACCTCAATGTGCTCATCTGTAAATGAGGGTAATGAAATAGAACTTGCACCCATGGGTGGGAGAAAGGATTATATGAGCTAAGACACGTAAAGCACACGGTGCCTTCTGGCTCACAGCAAGTGCTCCATAAACAATAGCCACTATTGTTACCGGCGGTGTGTTTCCCTCTCCTCTCCGGCTCCCGAGGATCTCTTCTTCTCTCGTGCCCTCTCTCCATCTCTCCTTCTCTCCTGCTTTCTCTCCCTTTCCTCTCCCCACCTTTCCCATTCTCTTCTTGCCTGCTCTTCTCACTCCCACTCTGTTTCCTTCTCTCCACCTCTTCTTCCAGTTTCAGGACTCATGCCAATGGTCCTATCCTTCCTTGTGGTGTTTTCTGATTTCTCTTATCTGGGGAAGATGTCCAAGTTTCAGAACTAGGAGCAGAACTGCTACACTGACGGTAACACAGAAGGTTAGAAGGTTCCCAAGTTCAAGTGGACGCGACTTCCGAGACTCCTGTTTGGTTCCTCTCTTTGCCCCTTACCTGAGCTCTTTCTTCTAAGCTCTACCTCTCGATGTGGCTGCTTCCCAGACTATTTCAAGGTCACTCTTTTGTCCCCAGTTCACTCCAGAACATTCCAAGGGAGAGAAAATGACTGTCCCCACCCCTCAGCATCAGGACTGTTCAGAAAGAAGAATGTGGCTGAAAAGATATCAAGGACAAATTGAACTTTAAAAAGGAAAACGTCTCTCCTAAAGAATCAATGAAGCTACTTAGCATTTTCCCCAGTCAGGCTCTGATTGGCTCACTAATCCATCTGTTTGCTCACAAACCTGTTGACTCAATCACCATGTGGCCACTTTTCTATATGAGTTTTTGAGGGCCTCCCATATGCCAGGGGTTACACTTGGGTCTGAGGGAGGACATGATGGCAAAGCAGACATAACATATATCCATTGTCGAACTCATACGTATGGAGCACCTACTAAGTGCTGAGCACTGTTCTAGGTGCTTGAGATATCTGAGTGAACAGCACTGACAAAGATCCCTGACCTCATAGAGCTTATATTCTAGTAGGAGCAGCATAATAAATGTGAGAATAAACAATCTTTTCTGTCAAAGAAGGGAGTTTAGACACACGCCATTTTGGCTCAAGTGACTTGCAGCTCCCCTGGGGGCTGCCATTTTGAAATGGCAAAGGTCAACCCCTTCCTTTAAATTAGCCAATC